AGATGGCCCAAAAAACATAGGCAGCAGCTACTGCAAGTACTTGAATGAGGATTTATGGATTGCTGAAGCTGAGGTGTGAAAAGGAAAAGACTGATTTTTATCCCTAACTCCCTCCTGATCTCTTAAGCTCCTTTATTCTGAGGCTTTCAGAAGTGCTTGATGTCACTGGAGTCACACTTCTCTTTCTTCTGCTTTTACTCCCTATCCTGTAACATGGGGAAAAATGGCTTTAGCTGGGTTCTTTTGACTCTTTAGGATCACAGAGGTCATGGTTGCTGCAGACTCCCAGAAGAGCCTGTGTCTATGGGTCCATCAGCCCAGAAAATAAAGCTGCAGTGGCCAGCTGCAAGTCATTGATGAGCTCTTGGCTACGTAGCAAAAACCACTGTGACTTGTTAAATATACTGAAAGTTGTGAAATAAACAGGTTTGACAGCTGCTCTCCCCAGACTGGGCTGTTCTTGTCTCAGTTCAAGAATCTCTGCTTGAGAATATCAAATTGTCTAATCCAAGCTAAGCAAGAAGCCCAGGAATGTTTCTAGAAGCATCTTTGATTTAAAAAACTAGATGTCATTCTGTAAGCTTTTTCATGTGTGTATTTTGTGTTTTTTAATATTCCCTTTCCATAAATCAAGTCATTCCACTTCTATAACTAAATTTCCCTCTGACATCGAAAGTGAGGAACAAGTGAAAACACAAAATTTTTGCTGATTGTTTCCACTCCTCCTGTTTGTGGTTCAAGTCTTGGCTATGTATTGAAGACTGTATTATTATTTTTTAATCAAAACTGTTTCTTTCATAGTAGAGAGGATCATTGTTTTGTTACTTTAAATAACAGAAACACCTTGGTTATAAAAGCTGAAGAAAGAGGGGCTTAGAAATTCAAAGTATTTGATACTGTTTAATGAGTCTATCTACTAAAAATAGGCTTTGTAAAGAAGAGTAGTAACTCATTCTGTAATACTCCTAGTCAACAATAAAAGGCATAAAGGTTTTTTTTTTACTGAAATGATTAATGGCTGCATATCTAAAGTTCTGCAAATTTTTGTAATGCTCAGCAGAATCTAAAATTTTGAGAGAATATCTTGTGTTCGTGCTTGTGAAAATAGCTGTTCCTTTAATGTGTTTTGTTTGCTCCCTTGCCAGCCAAGCTAAAAAAAGTGAGCAGCACCATCAAGCTATGCTAATGTTGTGAGCCTTTTTGATCCTTCAGTGTCCCAGAGGGCTGATTCCTTGTCTGCCATCATCCCTGCATGAGGTGAATGTGTGCATGTGTGAGGAATGCAGGACTGGGCACAAATCCTGTACCCTTTGAAGACACTCTGTCCAAAACAAACACTCAGTTCCCAGTCAGTGTAATTTAGTTGATAAATATCTTAACAGCTTTCTGGGGAGGAACCTCTGCTTGTTTTCTGCAATGTACCAAAAGCATTTTTAGTGATCCTGAAGTCCTTGAACACATTTAGTGCTGTTTGTGCATTGGTGGTGCCAAACCATGTAGATGCTTTATTGTTTGCTTCCCCCAAAAATGTGGTGTTCTAGACTGCTCAGAGACTGTGCCTTTTGTTCAATATTTCATGGGGATTAAAGAGAAGAACAACAGATAAAACCAGTGTCCATGAAATGAAAATAAGCATTCTAATATTTATTGGTGTCAAAGACCAGGAGACTTTCTTGTTCCTGGTTGGCATTGCTGATAGTTGTCCCTGTTACATGTCCATGTGTAAGTCCTTGGGCGTTTTCTATTCATATCTTCATCCTGATCACATGTTCTCAAGATACAAACTCAAATCCAAAAGGAAATGTTTTAGTGAGTGTGTGAAGTGGAACACAGATTGCAGAGGCTGTGCAGCCTTGGTGTGAAGAGAAGCAGCATCATCACACCGTTTGTTTAGATTTCGTATGAAGCTGTTGTCTTCAGACAAACTCAGAATTGAACAAATATATGGATGTGATTTTTAAAATACAAATATTTGTCATCATTAGTTTATATATGTAACATATCTGCATACATAATACACATGCAAATGAAAAATTGCCTATTTAAGGCTCCTAATTTAAGAAAGCACAGGGCCATCTGTTTTGACCCTGATTTGAAGGTGAGTTAAGCAGGTACTTTGGTGCTTTGCTCCTCCTAATTTAAGAAAGCACAGGGCCATCTGTTTTGACCCTGATTTGAACCTGCTTAACTCAAAACTCAAACTCAAGTACCTGCTTAACTCATTTGGAGTTAAGCTTTGCTTATTTGGAGAAAGCTACATATAAAGTGTTGGCCAGTGAAAGGAGTACAGGATGGTGTCCTGCTTCCACAGTCAACTGTCCTTACAGTAAGGCCAGTGGGGAAGAGTTGGACTTGGAAAGAAATGGATCTCCTGAAATGATGTGGTTTGTGTGCCATGAAGAGCTCTCTAATGCCAGCTGTGGTGTTGGGGTGTCCCTCTGTGCAGTTGAATGAGTTGGGTGCCTTTGGTGAAGTCACAGAAATTGCTACATGCATTTGGTAAATAGCTAACTAAATAATCCAAGTGGAAAAAAATGTGTTTTTAAATTTTACAGTGCAAGAGAATTTTTTTTCAAGTCACATTTTGGAATCTTTATTTCAAGATGTGAAAGAATTCATTAAATCCACCTTTATAACAAAGTGCCTTTGTGATGACACATGCTCTGACATTAGTGGTCCGTACAAAACCCAAAAGAATTCCTTGAGGCAGATTTGGGCAAATGGCTTTCTTCCCTTCCTCAAAAATCAGATGGAAATGTGTGACCCAGCATTGCCATTGGTGGCAGAGTGGCTGCTGTTTGTGGGGGAAGGATGACAGATGTGTTTGGAAGGAAGTTTGGGATCTGTGTGTATTAAATCTGTCCGGAGATGGGAGAGGAGGCAGGATATGGACTGAGTCCAGCTCTGCCCTTGACTTGTCCCATACAGCCCCCTTTGAATTCAGAAGGAATTATCTCCAAATAAATATAAGGGTGGATGTGCATGAGTGAGTGAGAATGCAATCACCTGATGTGGGATTCCCATAGTGAGGTGTTGACTCATCTTTTTATGTATGGAAAGCTATTTTGCAGCCTTAGAAACAGTGCTTTCACTTGGGGAAGGCATTGAAGCACTTGTATGAAGTGCTTTTCCAAGGAGGGATTTTTTTCCATAGTCAAGTCCTGTGCAAACTTGAAGTGTCTTTGATTTAGGGAAGGGGGGAGTGAAGTAGTTTCAGGTGCTACTGTCTGTGAATAATGTCCTGCACATGGAGCCCTGTTCTGTTGGTCCTTAGGCAATACTGTGATAAAAAAACAATACAAACACCTGCACTTGGATCCACCTGCTGAGTTCTGTAGCTTTGCTCCCTATTCTATAACTTAGGAAAAAGCAGGCAGGGACTTTTCTGTGCTTTGGCTGCTGTGTTGAGAGAGACACAAACAGCAGGAGCTGCCAGAATAGAGACTGAAGCTGTCCTTATGCTGGGCTCCTGCATGCACAGACAGGTTGGGGGAGGAAGGAGAAATCCTTTCCCTGCCTTGCCTCCTCTCTTGCATTTACTCTTGCTCCTTCTGTAGTGGGGACATAAATTGTTTTCATTATGTACATTATATTAATTTCTCATTATTTTATTGAGTTTGTGTCCCAGCAGCTTCTAAATTTCAGGCTTAATGTGCTAATGAAGTTTAATTGTTCCCTACCCAGATAATTTGTATTTATAAATATACTTTATTTTCTAACTAAAGGAATTCTGGAGCAGGAAAATGCCCAAGTAAATTCAAGGTTTGCTCTTTAACATTGGCAGCTGCTGTGCAAGATACAGGCTGAAACTGTAGTTTTCCATGTGTTAGCAACAACAAAAAAATTACCTTTTTTTTTTTTAATTGTGAGATACAATTGTGTTTGTTTTGCACTTTCTAATCTTGAAAACAGAAGCTGGGTAAAACTGGTTGGCTCTCCTCATCTCTGCCTCTGTAAGGACTGGAACCAGTTTAGTTGGAGATAGGTCAGCGGTGCGAAAGTTTTGTTTAGATCTTTCTCAACCATGTCAGTGTTGTTTCTCTTAGCTTGTTTGGCTTTTGTGCTGGGTTTGTGAAGGTAAAACATGGCTTAGCCTTTAATGTAAAACTGTTTTGGCTTCAGTGTAGCAAAGCTATAAATAGGCTCCCCTTTGCCTCCCCAGCAGTAGGAAATGACTGCAGCAGGTGTTGTTCTCCGCTAGAAATTTGCACATTATTACTACCCAAGTACTTTTTTTCTTAAAATCAGCTTTCTTGTTACGTGTTCTTCCTTTACTAAATGCCAACTGACTGGTCAGCAAGTATCTTGTTAAAATCTGAAGTCTTCATTAGGACAAAAGAAATAAAACCAGAAAGGTATTTTTGGTTTATTTCTGTGCAGCCTCTGTGTAAAGTTTATTTTATATGCAATTTAAAAAGTATTACCAGAAGGCACAGGAGAGCTGCATAAAGCTGGTTGCTGACTGAAATGGTTTTGATTCTTTTAGCTTTGCTGGGCTGGAGTTTAATTCAAGTTTATTGTAGCAGTTCCTCTGTGACAGAACTGGCAGATGCTTGGAAGTCTACAGGCAAGATTTGTGTCCATGCTTGGATTGAGTTCTCCTTGCACTGCAGCATCAAGAAAACAAACAGGGTTCTTTTTGTGCAGTGAGGTGGTGTTTGGAGTAAATAAGGATCTTGCAGTCTGGTCCATGTGAAATGGGTTTGCTGGTGTCAATAACAGCTTCCCCTTGATCCAGACCCCGTCATTTTGTTGGGATTGATGCTTGGTCCCAGCAAAGAGCTGGAGATGTTTGGGCAGGGAGAATCCATGTGTTTGTGCTGCTGAGCCTGTTCTGCTCAGGCGGGCTGGAGAGCCCTGGCCTCCTGCCTCTGGTGGGGGCTGCAGAAAGGATGAAATCAGGGCAGATGTACTGTGCAAACAGCAAAAAGGGGGCACAGTCCTTTCTTTCTATTCTGTTTAACATCTGTGTCCCTTGCACCCCTTCCTTTCTCCCACAGATGTGAGAGTTGTGTGGAGCTGCTGTTTGTGAGAGGGGCTGGGAACTGCCACGAGTGTGACACCCCCCTGAGGAAGAGCAACTTCAGGGTGCAGCTCTTTGAGGATCCTGCTGTCGACAAGGAAGTGGAAATCCGGAAGAAAGTGCTGAAAATGTGAGTGTCACCATTTAAAATAACAGAAAGTGGATGTATTTCGTGCATCAAAATTTTTAAAAATTGACTTGTTCACTAGAACAGAAGAGATTTTTCTCTTTTTTAAAGTGGCAAACCATAAAACTTGACTCCATTTATGACGGAGGGATTTCAGAGAATCTGATTTTGTGCAACAATTGAGAGCTGAATTCTCAATTTAGCCTTGAGGGATTCCTGCTTAGCATTAGAAAATGTTGAGTGTTTCTATGTGGCCTTCTTTGGCAAAGACTTGGCTCCAAAATGGAGATGATTTAGATATTGAGGGGGTGAACATGGCAGTAGAGCAAGAAACAGGACCTTGATTGTTTAGTTCCCTGGGGACCTGTTCTGAGAGTTGAAGGCCAGTTCCCTTCAAAATCAAAATGGGAAAAAGAGAGTTCACATTGTTTTTTGCTTCACACAGCAATTGTTAGTGGAAATGGTTCCTTACAAGCCTGGTGTTACCAGTCTGTCATGCAGATTTGAAAGCTCTTGAAATTGAGATAAATTAGGTCTGAGATTGCATCTTGCTCCTTGTGGCCAGTAAGCAGCATTTTGTAAGGAAAAAATGGGAGCCAGTTTTGGTGTTTTAATAGAAGAAAATCTGATAAATCTAACAACCCAGAGAGAGCTCTGTGTGCCTAAGTGAACTTACAGGTAAATTATAAGCTTGTCAGCCTTTATCTAAAACTTGGTACAATAGTGAATGAATCGTATGACGGTGCTGAGAAATTCTGCTGGGGAAACTGTGCCACTGAATACCAAGCATGGAAAGCAGTAGTAATTTTGATGTTGGATTTTCAAGTCTACTGAAGTTAACAGAAGTCAAACTGGAATAAGTGAACTAAACTTGGAATAAAGTTTAGCTAGAAAATGTTGGAGAATACTTGGCCCACTTGGGTTTGCCAGATGAGTTTTTAGGAGGAAGAAAAAATGCCCCCAAATTGGAATGTGGCCTCACTTCTTGGGATTTTTATATTCCTGGGTGTCATGCTCCACAGATCAGACAGAGTCTCAGCTTTATATTTTCTTGGGAAGAAAGTCTGCCTGTCTTGACTTTCAAAAGCTGTCCATGTTCTAAGCCAGTTGTCCCTTCATCTTTTTACTTTCTCCAGCTCTGAAGAGGTGAATATGAGTGCTGGAATGGTCTATTGATGTGAAATGAGAGAATTGTGTAGCATTTTCAGTTGCTGCTGACATATGCTTTCTGTTGTTGGCACAAAGCCAAGCTCTCTTTTCTGATTGTTCTAGAAAAGCTTTTTTCTGTGGGTGTTGCTGTTGTCTCTGCCTTTGTTAAGAGGCTGGCTGGGAGTTACTGTGTCTTGGCCTCTGTGCTCATGTTTACCTGTAACCCTGGAAAAGGAATTGGCAAACAATAGGCAAAGATAGCACAGATTTCTTCCAGGCTGCCTCCTTTCCTTTGGAGCAGGCACTTCTGTCTCCCGTTAAAGATTCTGGTCAGTTTGGGAGTCACAAAGCACACAGGAGATAAAACTAGATCAGTGCTTAATCAGCTTGCAGCAAAAGCCTTGTTGAATGGAAATTGCATCTTACTGTGTTTTTTTTTCTCTTCTCTCAAAGATACAATAAAAGAGAGGAAGACTTTCCCACTCTAGATGAATATAATGATTTCTTGGAAGAAATAGAAGAAATTGGTAAGTGTTAATGCTTGCATTTTTGATGTGCTGTGCTTATGAGACCATAGGCTTTTATCTTCTGACTCAGCTGCCTATGAGAATGTCTAAGTTCAGTTTCTGTAATATGATTTATCACAGTATCAGATTTTTATCTAATTACTTTTTTTTTCTGGATTAAATCATATTTGCTGAACTGTAGGCCGTTGTTAAGTAAAACATTTTATCTGCCAGAGAAAAAAACACAATCCAAAGAGGAAGCAAGCTGGAAAAGAAAGGCTTGCAGGGGACTGTCAATGCTGCACTGGCAAAGATTAAACAAAGAAAGGAGAAATTGAAATTTTCATTATATCCCTCCATTAGCTTTATCTACCATGACAGAAGCCATATGGTGTCTTTCATCATTTTTGCTTCTGCAAGTACAGTAGTTGAAGCTGCTTTGAAGCTGATGACCTTACATACCACTGTGGTAGCATTTTATGTTGCTGTGCAGAAGGAGAAGGTTTAGGAACAGACGTTGATTTCTTTCTCTTTGGATTAGCTGAAGCAGAACTTTGCCCTTTGGGGAAGGGACAATGTTATCAACAGAGTTTATTTTCTTCTTAGTTAGGGTGACTTGTGATTTATGGTGGAGTGATGGGTTTTGCTTAGAAAAACAAGGATGTGTTCAAAGGAGTGACTCCTAAATGGCTTGTTCTTGGTTTTTATGAGCTTCTGAGGCTTTTCTTTTTTTTGACCTGGAGGAAGAAGAGGTGACTTAGAGCATGCAGGAGGGGCAATGAATGCGATTTGAAGGAAACCATGGAGATGACACTTTTCCTTCATTTTTCTCAAAGGAGCCCTTGCTCCTTTTTGCACTGTGGTGTTTTGTAGAAATGTATCCAATACACTTAGTGCTGTGAGCAATGTATCATGTTTTTGTTGGCATCAGGAGGCTGAGTCTGGGAAGCCAAATCGTGTGGCTGGGAAACACCAGTCACACTCACATGGTCCAGATATCTGGAGGAGATGATGTGGGTGTAGCTTTGTTTGTATATTTTTTGGAATGGTATGGGGGAAGGAGGGAATGGGCAGAAAGAATGGCCAGAGGATCCTGGAAGAATCTGTGTGCTCACGGGAAGCAAAAATGCTTTTTTTCATGCAGCATTGAATACAATTTCTCACTTAACTGCTGTTGCAGGACTTTTCAACATCTGTAACAAGGGAGTTGAGGATGTGCCTGAAATTGTGTGAGCCTCATGAATTTGTGCAGGATGTTAAGATTTTACAGCTCTTGGGATTAGGTGGTTACATTGCAAAATCCTGCACAAATGATTCCAAACCCTGTACTAGGAACTAGATTTTAGAAGCAGCAGCAACCTGGCTGGTCTTGGTAACCTTATGAAAAAAAGTGATTTGGCCAATAATTGTTTTGGCCCTCCAAATGCATAGTGAAGAAGCTTGATAGAGTTTTTAGGAATTGGAGCTAGTTATCTGAGAGCAACACCTAAAATAAGGGGCATTGGAAGTCCAACTGCATCCTTGTTCATTCATGTGGCAGTCAGGATGATGAGAGGAAGGAAGGGGTGCAGTTAGAAGATTCTGAATTTTCACTGTCGGCGAGTTCATTTATGATATCCCAACTCCAGACAGATCCCAAAGGACAGGTTAGATTCAATAACACCACTTGAGGCAAGAGTTCAAGCTCTGTTTGCTCTCCCTGGTGACAAAGCCCATTGCACATTTGTCCCCAAGCCCATCCCTGCTGTGGTCCTGGGCAGAATTCCCCACCTGGCAGTTGTCTGATGTGACATTTTCCAGTGCATGTTGTGAATGGTGTGACTGAACAGTGTGTTAAAAGTCATTGACTCTGTATAATTTCACACTTTACTGCTGAGAGGAGTTATTTCATTTTTGTGTGTCTCTGAATTCCCTGCTGGCTTGCTCATGTGGAAAACTGGGCTGCAAGATAGAAAAGAAAGGATCTGCAGGGCAGCTTTGCCTTGTGGAGCCAACATTCAGCAGACTTGCAGTAGCTGCTGGTGGTTGGGAAGGTTTCCCCTCTCCCCATGCCCCAAACTTTCAGTTTTTCTGTGAGAGGGTCAAAGTGCAGCTTCACCTTGTTTTTCCCCCTCTTTGCAGGAAGGTTTTTTTTCTGGAGTTGTTGTAGGGGCTTAAATGAAGTAGTTGCTTAGCACAGATATAATGTAAACATCCTGTATAGGTGTATTTCACGTGACCCTGATTCTGATAGGTTTTCCAAATATTCCAGGTGGGTCAGCTCCAAAACTAGCAATGGAATGATTCACAGCAATTGCTGGCCTCTCTTGAAATACATTTCCCCCCTTCATATCAGCTGTTTTATACCTACAGACTTTTTCTATTGAAATAGAAGAGTTCGATGGTGCAGAAGCTGTGTGTGTGTGTGTGGGAAGGTCAAACAAACATTAGAGTAGTCAGCTTTTAAGATTTCTATTATAAAAACCAGGTTTTTGAAGTGGTTTAGAGTGTAGCCACTGAATAATGCTTTGGGCTAAAATGTGTTAAACAAGGCTTTAAATAAAAACCACATTTTAAAGTGAGTTTTCCCCAGAAGAAAAATCGGTTGGACAATTTGAGAGCATTGTAAGCACAGTTTGTTGTCATTAGCACTAGGAATAAAAATGAAGTGAAAGGGTTGAAACCTGCCTTTGGGAAAGGTGTGGACAATATGTATCTCAGTGAGTCCGGACGGTGCCCATTTGATGAGAGGGGCCTGGTTAAACCTTTGAGTGTTGCTACAAGTTGCATCCTGTGGCCACAATGTGAATTTCGCTTGCTCTTTCTACAAAGTTTTCTTCTTCCCCCAAGTATTTTTTGTATCCCAGAGTATCTCTCTGGCCATTTTTCCAAGCCCTGTGTGAAAGCTCTTGGAGCAGGAGCCTCCCAGCTTGTGCCTGGCACCTTCTCCTGGTACCTTGGTGAAGCCCCCAGGCATTACCACAGCACATTGTTATGGGTAATTGCTGCTTTTTAAAAAGCATTGGGCTCAGAGGAGGCTGCTGTTATTTGTGTATTCCTGTATCTCCCTGATCCTCCAGGACCTCGTGCAATACTGGCTGCCTCTCACAACACTTATCTGACAAGTGATCCTTGGATAGAAAGGGTTTTGCTATCTGTGATCACTTGTGGGTTGTGCTGTTTATTGTTTTGTGGTTTGGTTTTTTCCCCCTCTGTGTGTGTGTTCTCGAGGATGGTGTTGCTGGTCCTGACAGAGGCAATAACCCAACTGGAAATTGGGCAGCTTTATCAAAGATCTGTTTCAGTTCACATCATCACACTGTTCCAGCCAAAATGGTCTTTCTTAGAGTGGTGGGGCTGGGTGATTTCAGTCATTCACTGCTGTTTACAGTTCTTCTGGAAAAGTTATTGACTCAATAAAGACCACTGAGGATAAACAGAAATAATCATTGATTCTTAACTAGACTTCTCTGGAGTCATTCACTGCTGTTTACAGTTCTTCTGGAAAAGTTATTGACTCAATAAAAGACCACTGAGGATAAACAGAAATAATAATTGATACCTAACTAGAGTTCTCTGTCTCAACTGTGGGTTTTCTTTTGTTTCTGATATTACGTTGTTATAATCCCAGAAATGTTGGTTAGAAGAGACCTGTTAAATTCTTTTCCATCTTTTCTCCCCCTCGCTGCACTCCTACCCCTTTTAAAAGTACAGGGATCAGGCATCAAAAGCACCAAGGGAAGTGGCCACAGTAGCCTGGGACATCCCAGGCAGGCTGAGGATGGGGTTGTGTCTCCCTCTGTAGCACTCTGCCATTCCCAGTCTGGGCTTTTAGGAAGATGATAATTTAGGAATTGTTTGTAGTAGGATGGGAGGAATATTGTTTATAATGAACTAATGCTAATAATTTTCAGTCTTAGTCTAGAACAGGGAGATTTTGAGGAACTTAGTCCTGCAGTGCAGTGATATTCATTCATACTGCCAAGTCTCTGGACAAATTATTGTGCTATTTAATTAAAATTTTTGTCTTATTTTCTTTTTTTATAACTAGGAAAATATTTTTCCATTTGTTATAGAATTGTATAATGAATGCTGTTGTTTTGAAAAACAGAGAAAGTCCCTGTAGAGGCTGAATTTCAGAACTTGGGAGTTTCACCTAAATAGAATGAAATGTTTCACAAAAACACAATAGTCTTCCTGTTATACTTAACAGATGTCTCAAGGCAAGTCATTTTATAAACCAACCAATGTGAGATGGATAAGTAGATAAATAATTGTTGCATACAAAACAGCTTCTGTTTCTTTTCCCTGAAGGGCTTCAGGCCTCTTATATCGGCTTATGCTATATTTCAACATGGACAAAAATAAGTCTGTCTTCTCTTTGAAACCTTTTCAAACCAGCCATCTGCTTTGCCACTCATATTCAGATCTACACCAATATTTTTTCAGGGTAGGTGTAGCATATGAGTTGGGATTTTTAACTCTTTCTAATTCTTCTAGTTCTATTATTTTTTAAAGTTATGAAGTATATTTAAAATACATTTCTGGCAAAACTCAAAGTAGGCCAAATAGAAAAAGTGCTTCATAGTCCTAGCTATGTTAAAGTTTGTATGTTGAGTGTTAGCAACTGTGTTCTTTGGGTTTGTAGTTGTTGGGTTTTAAATGCCAAGTAACTTGTGGAGGGGACAAGGGACAAGAGAGGGAAATAATATCTTAATTATTTTTTGTGCCCTAGTGCCCCTTGCAAAACAGACTTGTCAGCTCTATTGTGAGGATACAATGGCAAGAATTTGTATTCTATAAATATTGATGAAAAGACGTTTGAAGCTCATGAAAAATGTATTAGAAAATATGTTGAAAGATGTTTTGGCTGGCTGGCTGGCCACTGCTAACTGTGCAGTGTCAAGGAGCAGCTTGTTTTGCTGGTAGGTGTTTATTGTAGGAGGGAAGATGCTGTTTTCATGTGCTAAAGGGCAGCTGTTGACACTGAAATTGATGTAGGCAGATCCAGGTTACACTGTTACACTTTCCATTGTTTTTTTTTTTTTTTTTTACACTTTTTTGCACTCTCTTACCCTGTTTCCACTCATGCAACAAAATGTCTTAAGTGTTTCCACTCTTGAAATGTGGACAGGTCAGTGTTGAGGAGGAGGTGCTTAGGATCAGGACAATGTTCCTCATAATGTCTATAGATCAGTATTCTCTGGGACAAATTTCCTCTGGCTTTGAGGGGGCTGGAAGTTAGAATTTCTGATTGCTGGTGTCCTACAATATCCTTGAGTAACAAAGCAGGGTAGGATGGACAGAGCAGAGTCAGCATGGTGTGAGCAGATCTGACTGCTGAGAAGGTTGTGACTGTGGTTTGGTTCCAGCCACAGCAGGAAAACGAGGGGGGGATAAACACTTCCACCTTGAGCAGAGCAATGGGCTTTTAGGGTGAAAATTTCCCAAACATTGATGCAGAAATAGATTTTTTAGATAGAAATGTGACTTCCTGTGAAGTACCAAAACACACCCATTTTTGTAAGCAGTTCTCAATAAAGGTAGTCATCTGCAAATGTTTAAAACATGCTTGCTTTTCCCCAATATGAGTTTTAAATCTTAAGCTTCTTGTTTTACAGACCAAATTGTGACCAGTTGAACTTGTTAAAGATAACTGAGAAAGAAGCAAAAAAACAAACCCTGAAGGTTTCAAGCAGCAATACCTGCAAAACATAGATCATCAGCTTATGGCTGGATTTATTTTTAAAGAAATAGTCATGATGTTCAGGAGCCTGGAGGCAATTTGGCATCTCCTCATGCACCTGAAGGTGGCATCTGGGCATCCTGCTAGCACAGCATGGCTCATGTGCTATTTCTTTCTTGTGTCGTCACTGAAGAGTTTAGAGAGCTGCTGTGTGGATTGAAGTTGTAGGAAGTGCTGACATTCCCATGCAGCTGCTGTCACTGCAGAGCCCTGGGCTGATTGTGTGCCAGCATTTTCACATGATACTTCTTCTCTGCCCTAATACTCAAATATTAAAACTTCTTGTCAGTGGGCAACTGTAGGCTGGAAATTTGGATGTCAGATCACCCTTAAAATACTAAAGATTTAGACTAAAATAATGTTTTGCTAAGGAGAGGTTGCTGCAACCAAGAAGTGTGTGGTTGTCACAATATGAAATAGGAAAATGTTATGCCTTTTGGAGAGGAAAATAACTCCAAAACATTTGGGGTGGGTAGCTTGCTTCCAAAAACCAAGGAGCTGAACTTTGAGTGGCTTGTTTGGGTTATGGCAGTGCCCAGAGGTTCCAGCTGGGATGAGATCAAGACCACAGGGAGAAGTGCTGCCTGAAGCTGTAGCATGGAGGTACAGCAGGTGGTGTGTAGGAGAAGGAACCTTTATTCCCTTTTTTCTGGTTCTTGCCAGTGGCAGACCTCCAGTACAGAGGCCCAGTGGTCTGCCCAGGAACAGTAGCAAAGTGTGAAAATTCAACTCAGGTGTTGATACCAAAATTCTTAAAGCACAAACTCAGCCATCTTAAATCTTCCCACTGAACTGAGGATGCTGGGGTGGGGCTGGAAGAGTTCAGCTGGTTCAGGAGCCAGACTGAGTTGAAATGTTATTCCTCTTGATACTGCTTATTATTTGGAAAATGGGAAAAATAAATACAGCTTTTTTTTTTAAGGTTAGGAAGTTCTTGAACTGTATCTTGCTGAGCCCTTTTTTGTTGCAGTTTGAGGAAATTGAGTATTTTTAATAAGAGTAGGATGACTTGGTGGTTTGGTACTCCTGGATAAGAGAATATTCCTATTGCCATCTGTACCCTTTTATTACTTCCCTGGTACCCTCTCTGGCACTTGCCTGACCCCTGTGTTGAGCCAGTTCAGGTTACTGGAGGATTTCTGTTGACACTGCAGAGTATCTGAGGGAGTTCTGGAATCAGAGCAGGGGAAAGAGTGAGGCCTGTGCTTGGGGAGAGGGGCATGACAGCAGGAATGCCTCCCTTGGCAGCAGTGAGCTGGGCAGGTAGAACTGAGCTGCATCCCACAGCTTCACCATTTTGGATCTTCCTGTTTCTTCTTACCTCCATTTGCTCCTGGCATTGATTTCTTAATGTTTCCTTCACTGTTCTCACCTGGTTTGCCAGCCTGGACTACTTTTGGTTTGGTTTGCCTAGAACCCTCCTAAGTGCTCTTTTCTGCCATGTTACCTGTGGGGAGGATGAAAGAAGGGAATGATGCTCTCCAAACTGAGATGTGTGTTAACCTGATGAGTAACATCAGACCTCACGCTGCTTCCTTCTGTTCCTCTAGCAGCCTCACTGGTACAAATGACTTGGCAGTGGTGCCTGTGCCCAGGCTTAGCTTGGCCCTGGTTTCCTAAAAGCCTGGGAAGAGAGAATTGAACCAAAACCTCCCAGGTGCCATGCTGGTGTTTGCACAAGACCCTCCTTCCCTTTAGGGCGTGATGCAGCACGGTCACTGCGCGGTTGCTTCTTGTGAAGGATTTATCAATGGCAGAGCCAATTCTCTGCTGCTCTTGTAGGCATGTGACAGAGCTCTTGGAGGCTTGGAGTGCTCTGTGCTGGCACTGCTCAGTAGCTCTAAGGCCATGGGCATGAGCCCAGCATCCACTCAGGATGGGGATCACCAAGCGACTTCCCAGTGATAACAGCGGTGTTCAGTTGGAATTCACTTGACCCTCAAGTGAACCAGTGACCTAGAGGTGAAGGGCTCAGGCATTGTATCAAATTACAAATCATCCAAGCCATCTACATCTTTCAAGCTGTTGATTATAGAAACTGTTCAATTTCTTGAGATATTGTCTGTGCCGTGTGTAGATAATTGGGAATGTTGTGCTAAACTATGGAGCTTGCTGGCCGACCCTGCTTGCTCATAATTACATGAGATATAGTCTGTCACCATTGACAGACATCAAAAGAATGTCAGCTGACCTATTAATCTGCAAGCATCTGCAGATTCCTCATAATAAAGGTAATTGTACATTGGTGCCTTTTAAGTTATCAGGCAATGTGATTTTTTTTTTTTGTACCTGAGAATTCAGTCACTGTAGTCTTTGTGCACTAGATATTCCATGGGAAATGGAATGATTTAATCTCCAACCTTGTGTTCATAAGCCTGTGTTTGGTCTAATTTGATTTTATAGGAATCACCATGTTCTTAGCTCTAACTGCTACTTGAAAAGTTCAGTGTTTTATGAACAGTATGATGATTATTCATGTGTATCATTGCAGTGTCACAAAATGGGATGCAAGATTCAAATTTTAATCTCCTACAGATGTGTAGACCTACAGAAACTCTGCTGGCTTTTGTTGAAGTGCAGTGACTTAGCAGATTGTCTCTGTCTTTATATGGCATGTTTAAATAAGTTCTGTTACTGCAGTGTTTATATTTGGCTAGAAGGGATAGAGAGCATAAGAATAGTGTTTCTTTGTCATAGTCATGCATGCTGACCTAATACTTTTGCTTTCTGTCTTTACAATATTTATGCAGTATTTAACTTGACCAATAATGTGGACTTGGAGAACACCAAAAAGAAAATGGAGCTGTATCAAAAGGATAACAAAGAAGTCATTCAGAAGAATAAGTTAAAACTGGTTAGTTAACTTCTCTCCCCTACAATTTTTATTCTTTTTTTAAAGAATTAAAGGATTTGTGAAGTACTTTCTGAAAACAAATCAAAGCTGAAAGCACTATGCAGAGTTCTTTGTATTTAAGTATTGAGGTTGATAGTTGAAATGTAGTTCTGCTTTATTTTGGGAAGGGCTTGAGGAGAGGGGCAGGCAGCAGAGCCTGTGTCTAATACATCACCACGGCATGTGTGCTGGCAGTGTCGTTGGACAATGTCCAGGAGAGATGAAGTTCATTCCTACACCAGGACAATCGTTCCTTTCTCATCTGAAGGAAAAAAGGAATCCAGACTCAGACATTATGAAGCTCCCAGGAGAGGGTTGTAAAACTGAGGAAAAACACAGGCCTGGTTTATGCAAAATTTGAAATGAAAGATGTTGAAACAAACATTAAAACTTTTGTTCAAGAGCTGATAACAGTAACATCAGGGATATTGTATATATAATCTGTATGCAAAACACAGGGTTCTTTGAAGATTCATTCATTAAATTATGGCTCACATATCATTTTGTTCTTTAAAAATAAACTTGCATGCATTTATTCCTGTAAGAAAAGTTTAATCCGTTAAATATTTTTTCAGCGTAAAAATACACATTGTTATCAGTTCTTGAAGGAAAATGTCTGCCCCGAGTGTGACATAACAAGGGCTTGTGTTTGTAATCCAGTTGCACTAAGGACTTGCTTTCAAATCAGTAGGGGTGAAATCCTCACTCCCCTGAAGTCTGTGGCAAAACTCTGGGTGATTTCTTTAGCTCTAGGATTTCACAGGAGGAGATTGGAATCTGAAAAATGTTTGTTTGAACCTCTTCCTTTTAAAGGCAAGGAAATTTCCCTAGGGGTCCATCTCTGATCTGTTATCCTGTCTCTGACACTGTGCAATATCCTCTGCTTCAGAGCTTGAGGAGACCTGCCAAAGCTTTGGCTGTGTCTTATTTTACTGGAGCTGCAGCCTCTGGGGTCACAGTGAGAACAGCTCTGCCTGCAGCCCACCTTCCCTGCAAGGAAGTGGCTCTGACAGCCTGTGCAGGGGCTGTGGGATGCTGTCAAGCAGCTCTGTAGTGCCCTGTACCCTCTCAAGCCCCCAGGACTTGTGTTTGCTGTGCTCCACAGTCCTGCTGTGCTGGAGGCTGGCTGCTGGAAGCTGGGCAAGCCTGTGTGAATCCAGACTCACTGAAGAGCTGGAAACATTTATCTTTTCTTTTTTTTTTCTTTTTTAACATTTGAAACATTCATAATTTCTTTTTCAACAATTGAAACATAATAATAGACTTGACACAGTGGTTATTACAAAAACTGCATGATCTTGCCCATAAATTTCCCCCTCCTAAAAGCTGAAGGGTTGCTTTTCCTCTCCAGCTCCTCTTAGCAAATTTTGGAATGTCTTTTCTCCATGTGTGGTAAAAGGTGTCCTACTTTCTTCCTTAAACTTCTTATGGCCAGTCATTGACTTAAATTTTTCTGTCCACTGTAATAGGTTGCTTCTGAGGGATATAGAAGTTTTCTGTCCCTCTTGTTGTTTTTGTTGCCCTTTGCCTGCTCCAGTGTGATTTGTGTTTGGCAAGCAGAAGGGGCCAGAATTGAATGCAGAGATCTTAATGCCTCTTGTAAAGGAACTCTGTTTTCCCATCTCTGCTGGAAATACATTGATTCTAAGACTGTTCTTCTCTTGTAGTTTAGAAAAAAAAAAAAGTGAAGATCTTGGTGTTCCTGTAATTATAAATAGTTTTTCTTAATACATAGATATTTATATACACTTTTTATTTATAAAACCTTGCACCCTGAGTGGACTACAGCTTTTCCAGTGTTTCTCCCTTAAATATTTGCAGTTCTCCAGTCATAGGGTAACTTGTTGCTTCCCACTTTATCACTAGATGTTTAACTTCACTTGCTGCTTTGTGCAGTCTTGAAATAGTTGTGTCTGGATTCTGTGATGTGAATGTGCATGTTTTCCTGATTATCCTTTCCTGGATGTGGCAAAATTTACTTTCTTTTTAGTTCTTCACTCGTAGGCTTGAGATGACTCCAGGCTTCACTGTCATCATCTATCCCATCACATATTAGGACTGTGTTTAGATTATCTTTAGTCTGGACACAACCCTTGTTGCCTATTGAACATTTCTCTTTTACCGTTTAAAGAATTTGATCTGACACGTGATAATTCTTCCATTTTCCTGTAGTCTGCTCTGGTTTAGGTTTGTTTATCAGTTTACTTATTTCAGACTATAATTTTTCTGGGCTGTTTCTTCAGTCTAGGTCTGTCAGCACTTCCCTACAAGTTTTCTTCTGTTTCAGTGCAAATTCCAGGCAGTCTTTAGAGATAAATGTGGAAGAGCCTTGGAATGTCTCAAAGACCCTGAGCTCTTCTGTTCTGTTGACCAAACTAACTAAATCCCTTAAATCTCAGACATAACCTCAGCTAGAAGTTTGGGGATTTTCTTGTTTGTTTTTTTCCTTTCATTAAATGCAAAGAGAGCCCAATTCCAGGTGGTTGCTGGTTTGTGACCAGCTTTTTACCAGGGTCACTGCACCAGTTACAAAATGGAAGCAGCTTCTGTTGGCTTGGTGGCAGGTGATGAGATCTCCCAGGAGTAACTGGGCCTCACTGGGACCCACTGGCTCAATCTGTCTGTGAAGGGATTTTTTTTTTTTTTTTTTTTTTTTTTTTTTGCAGATTCTGGCTTTTGTTAGGTAGCTGTGCTTTATGATTAGAATAAACTTTACTGTGGTCTTGGCCTCAATAATGGTCACAGAATCACAGGAGAAGCTGATTTGGAAGGGACCCACAAGGATTATTGAGTCCAGCTCCTGGCCCTGCACAGAACCACCCCAAGAATCCCACCCTGTGCCTGAGGGCACTGTCCAAGCCCTCCTTGAGCTCTGCCAGGCTTGGTGCTGTGACCACTGCCCTGGGGAGCCTGTTCAGTGCCCAGACACCCTCTGGGTGAGGAACCTTTTCCTGATATCCACCCTAAACCTCCCCTGACACAACTTCAGGCCATTCCCTTGGTCCTGTCACTGGTACCACAGAGAAGAGATCAGTGTCCTCCCCCATGATGTTCTGCTAAAACTCCTTTCATCAATAAATCATTTAAGTTATAAAATTTTAATTGTCTTGCCATTTTTACTGCATCCCCCTTTGCTTTAGTATGTTAGGTGGAGAAGATTTGGAAAATGTTTCCTGTATGTTTTTCCTTGTACCTTCTAGCAACCAAACTGACATTCTTTTGATCCACCTTCTTTATAAAATTGTTTAATCCTCTTATTTTCCTCTGTCTCTGAACCCTATTCTGGTTTTTTTTATTCTTTCACTGTGATTTTCAAATACAGATTACCTAATAGTTTGCACATAAAAAAATACTTGCCAAGAAATAGATCTGTAAGAAAAACTTGTCATTTTGTACTAGTAATCTTTCTTTTCATCTCATGTCACATGACTGCAATCCAGGTTGTAGGAAAAATTCCTTGTTTGCTGAAAATGTGACATTTCCACAGTTAATGCTTAAATGCCTAAAGATATAGGCTTCCCTATTAATATTCACATATTTGTAATTTCTCATTTTTCTTCTGCACCTCTGGTAAGCACGCTGTGCTTTGCAAAGAAGACACAGCTGATGAGTGGGATGATCAGGAACAGTATTGTGGCATTATGTTTTTGTTCACCCTACTTATATCATTGAGTTATAGGATGTGTGGGAACCAAGAGGGGCTCACAGTGGAGTGAAAGTGTAGGGAAAACCCCTTTCTTAACATTTAAGGAGTCAGATCTGACTCCAGCAAGCAGCAAGTTAAAAATCTTAACTTTACACTGGACAATGAGGAGGTAGGAATAGTCATCCATAATCACCTTAAAACTTTTCTTTAAAAGGTAGAATTTGGCTGCTTTCCGCTTGCCTGGCCTGCCTAGGGTCCCTTGGGGGGCAGTGGAGCTGTGGGGTTGCTGTGAGCTGATTTCTGATTTCCCTCTCAGACGCGGGAGCAGGAGGAGCTGGAGGAGGCTCTGGAGGTAGAGCGGCAGGAGAGCGAGCAAAGGCGGCTCTTCATGCAGAAGGAAGAACAGCTACAGCAGATGATGAAAAGGAAGAATAAACAGGCACTCCTGGATGATCTGGTGAGTAACAAAAGCAGAGGCTTTGAAAGCTCAGTAGCATTGACATCCATCTCTATCACTGTGTGGAATTAACAGATCTGTCCCATTTCCCTGTTCTGCGTGTTTTGTGATTCCATTCTCTCACCTGTTATTTGTTTCAATGGTGCAAACCATTCTGGTGTTACGTAAGCTAGGGGCTGGATGAAGACTGCTTCTGGGATTTGTAGCTCAACTCTACCTCTGCTGGCTTGTTAAGCAGTTCTGAGTAGTGGCTGAGAGTCTGGTGTGTGGAAACAAAAAGGTCATCAGGAGGTGCTTCTTGACTCGGCCACCTCTGCAGTGGAGATGGTGGAGAGCAGGGGACAGGAACCTCAGGAGTTATCCAAGCACTGCTCAGCCCTTTCTCAGTCAGAGCACCTAAATGATTTGTATGCAAAATCCCTTTGTATGCAAAAACTTCTACAATGAAAAGTTTTCTGCCTTGAGTGTGTCGTGTTCTCTTACTGCCACTTCTCCTGTACAAGTTGTTCCTTTTGAAGTGACAGGAGCTTGTATAGACAAACAGAGGGAAACTCAGACTGCTTCTGGAAATCGTGATTCTGCATCTGAAATGCAATCACGTGTGGGCATAGAGAAACTCACTAAATGTGTTACTTAAACAAGGTTCACATCTCAGTTTTTTCAATACAAGAGTGTATTGAAAAAAACATGTACAGGACATTCACATGTTTAACACCCACGAGGACAGTCTGTGTACACACAGCCTGTGTGTAACCTTGAGGGAAATCAGAAAAAAGAGCTAGGTATGCATACGTACTTGTGTTCAGCTGTGTCAGCGTGGTTTAAAGCTTCTTGCCATATCCAAATGATATTTTCTCTCTTATATCAGTGCATCTCACACTAATACAGTGTTAATTCCTGCTTTGTAGTCTGTTCTTATTCATTATACAGATGCTTTTCTACTTTTCCTGAAAAAGTAGAGTTCCTCTTTGAGCCAGGGCAGAAGGCACTGACATGGAGACAGGATCTAAGTGAAATTTAGGAGTTTCAGGGCCTCCTGAAGAGATAGATGTCTTTCTTCAAGCCAGGATTCCTGGCAACTTATTACTGGTTTTCCTTTTGTAGGCAAAAGCAGAGATGAGCAGAAAGATTCTTAAAAAAAAAAGTCAAGCCTCTGTCTTTACATCCAGCAATCTATTTTCACTTTAAAGGTAAATGCTTTCACAGTCCACACAATTAGGAATAGTGTTTAAATTAATAAAAACTCCACTATGAATTTGAATTTAATTTCTCAGAATATGGATTTTGAGTTTCTAAATTTTTAAAACCCTGATCTAAAACACACTCCTAACTGACTAGAGACCAGTGGTTGCTGTGTGGTTGTTTGTTTAATTTTTTTTTTTCTTAACACAGCATTTGGTTTTACTGGAAACCTTCGCCAGGTGGCTTGCAGAAAGAATAGCTATAAATAACCCTTAAAATATGACTGAAATAAGTAGTTTTAACTGTGATTGCATATTTATTTTGCTATTAAAATATATCTTAATATTCTAAAAACAATATAAAGGTGATTTTTAAAGCCTGAGGGAGGAAACTGGACAGTTTCAAGTTGTGTCTCTGTTTCTGAAGGGGCAGTGTCAACTTAAAGTTGAGCCAAAACTTGTTTTGTAATATTACTAAGTTTATAAAACCAGCACTGAAGTGTTTGTGTAATGACTTACAAAGTCTCTGGAAAACCAGTGGTTGTTAAAGAAATAAACCTTTCCTGTGGTCTCTGAAATCCCTCTAATGCTGCACTGCAAAACTGAAAATGAAACTGATCATCAGTAAAACTTGAGAAAAGCCAAGCATATGCAGCAGCAGTGTAAAGAATTAACTTAAAAATAATCTTATATCTATGGTTGCTGGTTCTGTGCTAAACCAAAAAGGATTAATTTCTGGCTACAGAGATACCAGTGGTAACACCACTGACTCTGCAGGATTGTGAGAGCAGAGGAAAGTGGGAATCTGACATTGGTTTTGAGTCTTCTCCTTTAGACAGATCACCTGATCTGTCAGCCTGCAGTCCAGACCTACTGGATCTTGGTAATTTTTATTTCCCAAGTTTGCCCCTGCCACTGGGCTACAAAAAAAAAACAACAAAAAAACCAAAAACAAACAAAACAAAACAAAAAAAATAAGAAACAAAAAAAAACCCCCAAAAAAATCAAACCAAAACAAAACAAAAATTAAGGCACATTTTTTGTGTTGTACAAGTAGAGATATCAGGTATTTTCTCTGTCAAGAAATGAGTTTTACCTTTAGTGCTGAAATCTTAGGAAGCTGCAGATCTCATGGAATCCTAGAAATGCTTGGGTTGGAGGGGTCCTTAGAGACCATTGAATTCCAGCCCCCTGCCATGGGGAGGGAAAACTTCCACTAGAGCAGATTGCTCAGAGCCCCATCCTGCCTGACCTTGAACATTCACAGTGTTGGGGCATCCACAGCTTCTCTGGGCAGCCTGTGCCAGGGCCTCACCACCCTCTGTAAAGAATTTCTTCCTAAATTCTAATCTAACCCTGAACTCTGTCAGTGTGAAGGCATTCCCCTTGTCCTGCCACTCCAGGCTGTTGTAGAGAGTCTCTCTCCATCTTTGTCAGCTCCCTTCAGGTATTGGAAAGCCACAATTTGGTCACCCTAAATTGTACTCTTTTCAGGCTGAGCAATCCCAGTGCCCTCATGGGAGAGGTTCTCCTTCCCTCTCATCATCTTGGTGGTCCAAGACATTAGATGTGTTACTTATGGTAGTTTCACATGGAGCAAAGGTCTCAATTGTGTGCAAAAGTGTTGGAGAATGCTGTACCATCTTCAAAGAGCTGATACTTTAGGTAGTCCAGAGGCACAGAAAAATGTTTGGTATTCTAGATGTTGTGCAGTGGGCTCTGGTTTCTGGCCAGCCTGGGGAGTGCAGGGGCTCCTACAGAAAGGACTGGACTGGGGCCAAGGCTCCATGAACCCTCCCTTGGCTGGGGACAGGAGGGGAAGGCCAGTGCAAAGTACTGGAGAGATCAGCAGGGCATCAGGGGCACTCAGGCTCTGCAGGCCTCTGGAAAAGCAGTTTGGTCCTTTTTGCCTCCCTGTACTAATTAGGCAATTTCTATGTTACCTTCTTTGTAAGTCACCTCTTTTACAATAAAACCTCTCACTTTAAAGGCACAATACCCTGTTGTGATTTAGACTTGTAGTTTCAAATGCACTTTATGCATCACTGGGAGAAGTATGTGAGTTTTATTTTGGGTTGTTGTTGGTTTGGGGATTTTTTTTTTAAACTTGGATAATCCAGGCTGAGTAAAATATTAAATCACTTTCTTTATGTGCTCTACAAACTCTCATATGTATACAGAGGATTCTAATGTGATCTCTTGTGTCTCATGGGACTTGCACTTTCCTCTTCAACAACCCATAATTCCCAGGCATGAGCACAGTGGGACTGCAGCACATGGCAGAGGAGCAGGTTTTCCCTGGACTGTGGCATAGCTTGGAGCCAGGCAAAGGCGTTAAAGACGTCAAATCCACACTTCCACCAGAACCTCAAGGGTTTTGAGACCAATCTTCCAGAAACTGTATTGTAGAACCAGCTTTGTTCATAGTGTAGACAGTTTGTTTTCCCATACAGAAAATTGCTGGTATGGATAAACACAGGGTTGGAACTTCCACGTGTGTTAATAGTTAACAGAAGGGCTCTGGGCATATTCAAAAGGACAAACAATCAGGATGTGGTGCCTTGCTGGCACACTGTGGGTTTCCCACAGTTGTGTAATCTGGTTACTGCTCATTGTGTGAACTCCTGAGAAGTTGGTTAAAAATTGGCTTCCTTGAATCATTTTATTAGAAATGCAGTGAGTGTTTAAGAAATATGAAAGACAAAATGAACAGGAGACTGTTTTCCACTCTCCCTTCTCCCCTAATATGTTAAATCTGGTCATTGAAAGAGTTCAACATCTTTAACCTCTGTTGACAGCACATGCTGCTGCATGCAGGTTAGAGATGTACAGCAATTGAAAGAGGCACTAACTAGTGCTTCTACAAGACTCTAAACTAGTGCATTTGTGGTCCAAATTTTCTCCCAGTTGTACAGAAATTAGATGTCTCTTCAATTTATGTTTTTAGCATCTTCCCTCCCCTCTTCCCAGCTGATCACAGAAATATGAGTAGAGGAAGCTGTGCCTTAGATGTTGTATTTGTGATTCTGGACCAGATCTTGTCTTGTGAGATTTTTCTGCTTTTATCTTGCATTCTGATGGTAAGGCAAAGGGAATATAATAAAATATAGAGAAGGAAAAAGACTGGAGAGTGATGTGAAAAGTCAGTGTACAACGTGACTGTTCTTCATGATCACTTCAGAGGATTTCTCTAGGTACCATCAAAACAACAAGGCATCTTGTGGCATTAAAAACATCCAACTTCTTACCTTGACCTGAATAATTTAAAAAATCACAGTTCTGTTAATAAAATCTGTTTGGTTTTTGTGAGTAACAAATGTGGTTCATAGTTCAATATTTGCTTGGCTCTTAGAAACAGAAGTAAATGTGATGTGTGAGGGCCTTAGGAATAAAATCCTGTGCTAGAGCAGTCCAGAGAGAGTCTGTCTGTACTTCTTCCCTGCTCTCAACTTCATGGTAATTCTAGCCAGGAATTCTCAAGGATTTCTGTGTGCATGTAGATAGTCACATTAGTCTCTTAGAAAATTACTTAGCCAATAATTTCCTGATCTCTCAAAAATGCACTTGGATATATGTATGCTAATAATCATTCTGTCCTGACAGTTTAAGTAATTCATTTGCTTAACTGTTCATTTTACTACTATTTTTTATATACATACATATATGTATATATTTTAAAATTGGCTGGCTTCCCTAAAAATAAGTTGCTGAAGGAGAAAATAAATATGCTGTTGGTTGTACTTACAATAGTGCCATTGTGCAGAGCAGAGCAAGGATCATTTCCAAACGGCCTCAGGTGAAATCTAATGGGAAACAATTTCAAACTGGTCTGAGTTCATTGGGAGAAAGAATGTGTCTTAGATAAACATCTGATCCAAGTTATACTACTCAGTATTATTCCTTCTCTGATTAAGTTCTATTTTTTTTTAATTTTAATAAATATTGTTGCATTGGCCAGTTGGAATAAGAAGCCTGTTATATTGTCTTTAATGTGGATTCTATAAAAATGGTTGTTTGCAGGTTACTCTGATTTATGGGGTTGCTGCAGCTTTTTCTTATTACTGAAAATGATCGTTTTCTGTGAACTGTTGCTCAGGGAGAGGATACTTGGCATTCTGCTGTTCTCCTAGTGATGGCCTTGCAGTCACAGCTTGCAGTTTGGAAGAATGTGCAGTGTTAATTAATATTTGTTTTGGTCTAGGACTCACATTTATTCCTCATATGTTTACAGGAGAACTCTGATCTTCCTGCCTCTCTGCTCTTAGCTCAGCATAAGGACAGATCTACTCAGCTAGAAATGCAGCTGGAAAAACCCAAACCTGTCAAACCAGTCACGTTTTCCACTGGCATCAAAATGGTAAGATTTGCTTGTTTGTTTTTTTTTTTTAATGCCTTTCAGAAGATCAAGGATTTCCTCAAATGAATTCAGAGGTCACTTAAACCTGAGTTGCATGTTACATGAAATAGACTGTTCTCTTCCAATTAAATAAGTAATTAGGAATTAATTGAAGAATTTCATCATTCTGCTAGTTGGAATATTGTGATGGCCCACCCAGAAGGGTCATCATAAATATATGGACATTTTCATTGTGTAGTTGTCAAAAAACAAACTGTACCTCTCTCCCTGTGAAGTTGTGGTGTCCTTGAGTTATTTTTCTTGTTTGTGTACCAATTCTGGAAGTTGAAATTTTTGAAGTTCAAGAATCATCTCACTTTCTTCAGATTTATTTTGAGCACTGGAGTAATCTGTGAGTATGAGACTGACAGTCTAGAAAATGATGCCAAGGTTAAGGACTCTATTTTCATTGTTATTTGGCTCTAAGAAACCACAAGTATTTTTCAAATGTGTCACCTTAGGGTGGCAGCTGAAGATCTCTCAGCACTCCTGTTCTGTGTCATGACATGGCCCAAGCACACACCAGCCTGTGCACATAACTGTAAAGCTGGGGATGGGAGCACGAGTGACTGGTCTTTTCTGCACCTTGCTGGTTTTCTGCTTTGTATTGTTTTAAATCTCTTGTTAGACTTTTTTAAAATCTACTTTTTCTAGACTTCGTATTTTAGAATTGATAATGGTAAACTGAATGTCTTAAAAATAGCCAACACTCTCTACTCTCCTCAACAAACCAAGAAGTCAGCAAAGCAAAAATCTGTATATCAAACTAGTTTCCTATCAGTAATCAATTTGTTTTTGCCATGAATATTTGTGCTGTGTTCATTATCTGTTTAAGTGTTCACAGCGTGGAAGCATTTGCAGCTTATTTTTCCAGAAGCAGTGTCAGTTTTTGCAAGGCTGTGCAGATTGTTTTCTTGTTTTTCTGTGGTGTAAATTGATCTTCTTCCTACTTCTTTTAAAATCTATGAGTCTGGGGGATATTGATATGCTTTTTGACAGATTTTCTGTCTGTAGAAAAGCCAGTGGACAGAAAATGCCTGTTGTTTTTTTTAAAAAATACTCTGAATGGCTGTTCTTTTTCTTGCTGTAAAATATATTGTCAGAGTTTCTTAAAGCTGTGGCTTTTCTGTGGGGAAAGGAAGAAGATCAGCTTATGTTATTAAGATAGTAGAAGTATTTTCTAATTTGTATAAAAATTAATATTAAATGGAGTATGTGGTAGTGGACATTTGAGATCTGCAACCCTAAGTAAATTTCCTCAGGAATGGTGAAAGACTTGGCTGAAGAGATTTCCAGCAGCAGGACATTTAAATCCTAATGTTTGGAATAATAGGGGATATGCCAGATAATTCATCATAATGATATCTGGCAATTCCTAATTCATCGGTGTTCAGAAATGTGAATAGATAAATTATTTAATTTGTTCAATCTCAGGAAACAAAAATTTCCTCACCCTGACTGCTCTGAGTCCTAAATTGAAAAAGAACAGTTTAATTGTACTTCTTTCTATTAATGTTTTTTAACAGTAAGGGTAAGGATAGAAGCATTTGAAGTTGGTGACTACTATTTATGGAAAATTGATTGCATTAAAAAATTTACACCAACAAAATTACAGGTTTTGCTTAGAAAGATGAATGTTCCCTTACTTTCTTTACAGATGTTTGATTTATTTATTACATGACATTACAAACATACAAATTCTATTACACTAGTAGCAATATTGATACTCTGCACAATAAATGAAGTGTCTAACTTTGTAATTTTTGAAGAAGTTGGTTCCACAGCCTGGGAATGTTTCTGTGGGTGTTCTGTTAGGAGGCAGCTCAGTGCTTGGAAGCAGATGTTGAATTTCTGTGGATGATGTGCAAATTGGCAGTTTACAGGGTCACTTTGACAAACTGGCCTCATTTGAATGAAATGTGTTTTAATAAGGGTAAGTGCAAAATGAGAAATAGAAGAGTAAATAACAGGCTCTGGGAAGAGGGTTTGGAAGTTTAGCTAAGGAGGTAAAGCAGTTTGACCCTCAGCCACAGTGTGTGTGGGGGGCCTTGGGTATGTGAATAGTCCAGCAATAAACAGGAAAGGACTTCTCCTTCTGAATGCAGTATTGGGAAGGGTTGTGGACTGCAGAGTTCTGCTGGCTGCATCTTGAGTGCAAAAATCAGAATGTGAAGAAGAGCCACAAAAGTCCATTCAAAGGCAGAAAGATCTGCTCTGTGTTGAGGAGATGGTTCAGGAATGACTCAATTTACACTAAGTACCTCCTTAGCACAGAGCATGCCAGGTCTGAGCAGTGCAGCATTAAATGTAGCAAGAACCAGTAACCTTAAATAAACACCATCTAAATAGGAACTGAAGGAAGGAATAAGACCTTAAGTTCACACAATGTTCTGCTGGTTAATTTGCCTCACTGTTAAAATTGCTCTGGAATTAAACAAAATCTCAAAATCTTGATGTTTTCAGATTAGGATTGGGGTGCATCTTGGAAAGTTACTGTAGTTATCAAATGCAAGTTTGCTGGCTTTGGAGCAGGCTTAGTTTTGTGAAAAGCAGCTCTGCTCATTGCACATGATCCATGAAGGTGGGTTCTAGTGACAGTGTGAGGTGAATTCCCAGCTGGCACTCACCTTGGGACATGCTTGTTTGCCAGGCTGAGTGTTTTCCTAAGAACCTGAGATGCTCAGTGCACTCCTTTTGCGTAGGTGTCCACGTGAAGTGGGTGGAGCTTTTCTTGTGCTCTTTGCAGCTGCTTTGGCTTGGTTCCCCTCTAAACCATGGGGTTCACACCACTCCTGCTGGTGGGGGAGCTGGAGGGGAGTACTGAGAATTTCTTAAGAAATGCAATTCTAATTAGTGCTCTGGCACAAGAGTTCTGCAAATTCAGGATGTTTGTGTGAAAAGTCTGCTTTGTGCCCACTGTCAGAGGTTTAGCAGTGCACATTTAATGAATCACTATGTATGCCCTTCCCCTGGGCTTTCATTTTTTCCTAATAGTTTGGCCACTGACCTTTTCTGATGGGTGTTTTCCTCTAATTTTGTTTCAAAAGAAGGGAAGCCAGATAGAGCTAGCTGAGCTGCTGGCTGATCTGGAGCTGGTGTTTACACAAAGGCTATGAAAATATGCCACTTGTGGCAATCCACTGGGTTTTTTTCAGCTTGAACAGGAGTGTTTTTCCTTGGTCAGAGATGTTCTTCTGCCTGACTGCTAATCAGACATGTTTCTTGGTGTCTGACTTAGGAGCATGTCCATTCTAGTCTCCTGGGCAATGCTCAAGGAAGTTGGCTCATTTAAGGTGTCATGTTAGTGCTGTGGGTTCCTCTGCTTGCAGGGGGAGGAGGGAATGTCTTGTAAGCTAAGCAAGAGCATCCCCTATAGCATGAGACAGACAAATAGCTCATGGGGACGGGGTCTCCTTCCTTTTCCTTTTGTTTAATTCTTTTTTTTTTTGTCCTTTCAAGTGGAAGCAGTTTTTCCTCTAGTCTGCTTTTCAACTTCTTCAGTAAATTCTATCCCCTGTGCACAAAGCTTACATTCCAAATCAATCAGTTTGATTTACCTCTTTGAGTAGGGGGAGACAGTGCTGCCAGGCTTTTTTCCTTATGTTCATCATATTAAGAAATACACTTTCAGCACATCTGAATATTTTAAAACAGTCTTACTAAAGCCAATCTTAAATCGGGGTAAAGCTACAGAAGAAACTGTAGCAATCTTAATTGCTGCAATAGCGCAAAAAATGAGATTTCCTGTCAGTTTTGGTACTTCAGCAGCTGTCAAAAAGAGCAGAGTTTGTCTGAAGTGAATGATATTTGCAGCATTTCTAGGGCTTGTCAGGAGGTGCAAAACAAGGTCTGGCAAGAGAACCATTCTTCTGGTTTTTGGTGAATGTAATGACCATTTCTGGTTGTTAGGTAGATGTAATGTGGAGCTCATTTTAAGGTGTGAGATGCTCATATGTATTGCAGACAAATGGCAGTTTGCAAATGCAACAGGAATTGTGTTAACATGAATTTAGTTCTATTCTTATGTCTCTAGTGTTTGCAGAACTGTAGAAGGCTTTTCTAGGTCTGTGCTTTACCTCACCATTGTAGTTAAAAATGCATAGAAGTGTGGATGTATTTAACTCCTCCTTAATTCATTGAACTGGGAGCACAGAACCTTTGAGTCCGTGGCCCAGCTGTTTCCATGTTTGTAGAAAATCTGGGTGCCTTAGACTGGCTCAGCTCATGCTATCTCCAGCACATTTCAGCTGTGTGTTTGTCCCTTTTCTGTTCCTTCCAGTTCTGTAATGTTTCTTTCCTGCCTTTCCCCAGCCTCCCAGGACACTTAGCCTCTATTGATGGTATTCTTGGAGTAATCTCATGCAGTTAAAAACTCAATTACCTCTAATTGGATTGCCCAAAAATGCTGGAAAACAACATAGGTGTCCCCTGGTTTGCTCCTGCTTGGGAGAGTTTACCTTATTGCATTTTGTACCCAAATACCTCAGAATTAATGTAATGCACCATTGACCTTCCAATTCTTACATCGTTTTTGTTTTATTACTTAATAGCAGTGGGAATATTTATTAATAGAACTATTAGTGTAGAGTATGCTTGATCATTACCAAGATGGTCCCTACCCAGTGAATTTGCAGTTTAAATAGATGTGTCAGGGAGGGAGGGGAAGCAGATGCCCGGAGGGGATGTTCTCACCCAGGATTAGCCAGCAGAGCAGTGGAGGAAGAAGGAATAGGATCCAGCCCTGCTGAATTCCTAACCCGTGGCTCTTCCGCTGAGCCGGGCTCCATCTCCTGTCAACAGCACCCCTGAATGGCAGCGAATTAAGAGTGAAATATCTGCTCCAGCTCCTGCTTCCCTGTCCAAATCACAGCAGCGGTGTTAAATATAACTTTGTGGCTCTGAATATTGCCCAGATTTATTCCAGTTCTTGCAGTTTCAGGTTATTAGTAGCTGGATGCTGG